GCAGGATCCCTATGGAAAGCCAAACAGGATGAGCTGAAAGCTGCTGAACTGAAAGAGAGAGGCGAGGAAGATCAACAGGACCCTGAGGATGGGTATGGGGACGGGAGTAGGTCTGGAAAGATGATTGTTGTTGAGGCTTTGTTGAACATGTGGCGCGAGCAAGGTCATCGAGTACTTCTATTTTCACAAACAAAGCAGGTTAGTTAGTAAAAGGCGTAAGGGTTGCATGAGTGGCGCAATGGTGTGAGCACTCACTCCCAATCATCGTGCAAATGGCCTATTCGGCCAGGAATCAGGTAGACAAAGAACCATTTCGTGGATGTGCAACCTCTATTGCATCCTCTTTTAAAAGATTTAAAAGGAATGTGTCTGTGAACCCGAACGTTCTCTCAACATTTACACCTAAAAATGTTGAGATGAGAAGACTATGCAATTTTCCTCATGAAACAGGATTGTTTCAATTTAAAAAAATACAGATATACAGTGCTTCCTCAAGAACAACAAAATTGAGAGAGAGGGTCAAGTGACTGGGCCGTAAAGACAAAGTTTCAATTAATTTAAATTCTTTTCCTCATGTCCCGACATCTCATAACAACATTGGCTTTAATCAAATATTGAGGGATTGTTTTGACCATTGGCGTATTACCAGGGCTTTTAGACGGACCTGTTCGGTAGACTGCGTGACGTGATAGGCATTTAAAAGGGGGATTTAAGGCGCACGAGTGCATAAAGGTGCGCACCTCGCGCTCCCATCGGTTCTCACGCTCCTTTATTGCCTCTTCCCCTTCAATTATCGTGGGAGGCTCATGACCACTCGCGAGCGGAAAGCGCGAGGCGCAAGGGCGTCATCTACGACTCTTCTCAATTAGAGAACTTTCTCGAAGGCTAGACGTGTTGTCGCGAAAGGCTCATGATTACTTGCGAGCGGAGAGCGCGAGGCGCGAGGCGCAAGGGCGCACATGTTATTCACTTGTTTGTCTGCAACTAACTTTCTATAAGGTGAGGTGGACAGCCTTGCTAGCTTGAGTTCGCTTTATGATTGGTTTTACCATTATTTTTCGGCTTATTTTCACAGATGTTAAACATCCTGGAAAAGTTTGTGGTTTCGAAAGGTTACACTTACTTTAGACTTGATGGTTCCACGCCGGTTGCATCAAGACAGGGCCTTATCAAAAAGTACAATGAGGTAAAACTCGAATCTGTCGTAGTGGTGATTTCACTGTCGTTTACCGCAGTTAATAGGGAGCTTAAAGATGATGTTACACTGGACGATTCGCAACAACGATTTTTAGCGCAACAGAGCGTTACAGCATTGTTGTGGCGTTGTTTCGAATGGTTGCAGCATTGTTCCAACATTGCAATGCTGTGTTGCGCTGAAAATCGTCGATGCAAATCGTCACGTTTAAGGAACGACGACGACAAGGAAAACGTCAAAAAACGATTGGTTTTATGAGCGAAACAACAGCTCTACACGTGTCCACTGCATGACTACGATGTGAAACCTCCTAATGCGACATTTTTTGGAGGACGTGAACATACGAAGAAGAATTTTCCTCTTTTTGAACCTGAATAAAATCCTTAAGAATTCAACTCCAGGAGAAATAGCCTACATTTGACAAATTGAAAGGGTCCAAATAGACGCGATAAAGTTTGAAAAAACGCAAATTGAATTTTTTGAGCGTCGTTTTCACTGCCGCCGTCGTCATCGTCGTCGCTTTACCGGACTTAATTAATTATTATGTGTAAATTGTATTCGCTGAATCTTTTATGCCCCAATATCCACATACAAATTCTACAGCCTGATCTCCGTACGTCTCCCTAAGGAATAAGTAGAGAGAATTTGTTAAAAGATCAAAGCATTTTCCCTTGGTGATCATTTTAATAATTCTCCTAACCTATAAGCCTGAGTGTGTTTTGATATTGTTGGGAGAAAATTCATGTCGGCCACATTTGGGGCTTTAAAAAGGGTTGATAGGACATGTCCCTACTATTGTTTGTTTGACCACCTAGCCTGCGTAGCAGGCGCTTGGAATTAGTGGGCGTAAGAGACAACGGGCGCGCGTGAAGGAGACGCGCGAGGGGTGAGGGAGCTCTCCCCTCGCGTGTCTCCTTCTCGCGCGCCCGTGTTTTCTTGCGCCCACTACTTCAACGCCTTCTACGCAGGCAATTGACCACCCATCACGGGTATCCATCTGTTTGTTTACTCTTCCTAAATTATCGGTTGATATGAACACAAGGAGAAATCTAGGGCTTTAATACTGACAATTTGTTATCTATATGTGAAATAGGATCGGTCAATCTTCATGTTCCTACTCACAACTCGCGTTGGAGGTCTGGGGGTAAATCTAGTGGGCGCAGACAGGATTATTATTTATGACCCCGACTGGAACCCCAGCACGGACACGCAGGCGCGTGAACGAGCCTGGAGAATTGGCCAGAAGAAACCTGTCACTATATATCGCCTGATCACTACTGGTACAATAGAGGAGAAGATTTATCATAGGTAAGAGAGAGGGGACGGCCTCAGGCGCAGCGTTTGTGATCAACAGTCGCCTACTTGGCACAGGCTGCGTGTTTTTCCGCCTACAGTTGGGCTTAAAATTTTAGTGTGATTTGTCTTGCTTTTTTCGCTCTTATATTCCGTGCATGATTTCGCGCGCTTGCATTCTTTCGAACTGGCAGACGTTTTGTAAAATGATGACTTGTTCAAGTAACAAATGCTTTACATGCACTTACTGCAGACATTTCGTTTCTATACCCTGTCTGTGTGTTAATTTCGCGATTCTTATTCAAACGTTCGGCGATGCGCAAAATCAATGAAATATGCGAAACTACTGCCGCTCAAGAATTTGTCATTATTTCATCTGACGTGTTGAATATCTGCTCCAGGCTCTTCATTAGATTCTCAAGGCATCCGGGCGAAAAATTTTGAGACAACGGTGAGGAACAGAAAAATGAACATCAATCCGTTTTTTTTTTTACCCTAACCCTAACCCTTACTTTGTTTACGAATCATTAATCTGTCAACGTCAGTTTGGCGGATGGAAATAAGTGTTGACCGCAGCCTCGTTCCCAGGATTGTTCCCGCCCCTCCCAGTGTCCAAGGGGTGTGCCCTGGGGACAAGGTTGCACTATCTGACCACTTGAAATGCGTAAATACATTACAATGGCAGAGCACATTGGCTCACCGCAGCCATAACTGACTTCAAATTGTATCTCTTGGCAGGCAAATTTTTAAACAGTTTTTGACTAACCGAGTGCTCAAGGACCCAAAGCAGCGAAGATTCTTCAAATCTAATGATCTTTACGAGCTATTTACTCTGGACAATTGCGACAAGCGCTATGGCACAGAGACGAGCGCCATTTTTGCTGGATCTAACTGCGAAGTCAAAGTTCCTGGAGTCCACAGAAAAAAGAGAAAAATGACAGGAGATGAAGATGCCACTTCCAAGGAGAAGAAGGGGACTAAGCAAACGGAAAAAGAGGTTAGCAAGAAGGTGCAAGATGAAGGGAACGACAGTGGAGCGTTCTGTATCGATTGGAGAGACATTCAGGAGGCGAAAAAATTAACGAATGATGAAATAGAGAAAGATAAAATCAGCATTTGCGAGGGGGACGAAGGAGAGGTCACTGAAACGGGGAAACAGATAGTCGTTGGAAATATAGAAAACAGAAAGAAAATTGAGCAAATGAATGCGACTGCAAGTGAAAATTTTACAGAGGAAAATGCAGTTTCTAAAGCTTCCAGTATTGCTGAAAAAGAACAAGTCGCCTCGTCCCCATCTGAAGTTACTTCAATTCCTGCAAGACAGGATGGAGTAATCAACAGCTCGCTACAGCTGAGAGTGGAAGCAAAAACAGAAAGAAAGAAAACAGTGGCATTTGCGGCCGAAAATCCTGTAAGTGGAGAAGGCGCGAAAAATCAAGGGACTAGTGGCGGATCTCCCAAGAATCGCAAGAACAAGATTTCGTCTTTAAGCGACCAGGAGCTGAAAAAGAGAATCAGAATTAAAGAAAAGAAGAAAAAACGTCGAAGAGCAAGTAAGTGATTCTTGATAATTGCTTGATTGCTTGATATCATTTTGATCTTATTGACAATAAGAACGTCGCATCATTTTGGTCAGTCACAAATTATTAGGAAGCTTGCAACATAAACTTAAGTACCGTTGTTTTTATCTTTCATGTTTACCGGCTTCGTAACCAGTCTTTTCCACCAACTAAGTGTATATTATGAACCGGACATCTGAGCGGAAACCATCAGTCTGTTTTCTAGAGAGGAGGAGGAGATAATTCATCCATTTAAGAAAAAGAAACAAAAATAATACTGTGCGCTTGTGAATAAGATGTCTTTTTGTTTAAAAGAAATTGACGGTCAGGCTATCGAAAACCTGGATTATCATGAAATGTACAACCCTTCCAATGCAAGTCAGTCAAGTGCTGAAGAAATGGAGGAGCAGAAACAGCACAGTGCCCATCAAGACGAGTTCATTCTCAAGCATCTCTTCAAGGAAACAGGTATTAGATGAAGGCAGCTAAAAAGTGACACTATTTTAGAATAGCCCTAATCTTGGGTTCTAATTGACAGATTTATAATTCTGTCGTGTGGATTTCAAACAAAGAATAAATATTAATCCGGTCATTTCGATTTTAAAATTACCACAGACTTCAAACACAGATGACACATTTTTAGGGTTACTCTCAGCCTATGAACAGGTTCCCGGGGGTCTCTTTTCCCGTCCCCGATCCCCTGTCCGCTCGTGGCTTCGGCCTTCGGTCGACCCTGAAGCATCCCGCCGCACGCGAGAAAAATATATGGTACACTGGGTATCGCCTCGTTTAAGGGGGTGAAAATTTCAGATTTTGTTGTCACTTAGAGTGTTTAGGACGAAACGCCTACATTTTTTTGCCCTCGGGGTGCAACTGTTCTCGAAGACTGTCTTCGTATACACGCGCGGCAATCGTTTTAAAGCACTTGTATACTTAAAGTAACTCTTTTTATGCTCTCCCGAGAAATTAGCCAATAGCATTCGACAACAATTTTATAGGTGTACACAGTGCCTTGAAACATGACGTCATCATGGAATCTAGTAATCCTGATTTAGCCTTGGTTGAAAGCGAGGCAAATCGAGTCGCAGAGAATGCTGTTAAAGCGCTCAAACGGTCACGCCGGCAATGTCTGGGTGCGGCCAGTGGTGTTCCTACTTGGACAGGCTCATCAGGCTCATCTGGTCTGTCGGAACCACCCCCAAAAAGGTGAATATAGACACGAAAATTATTTGTAGTGGTTGGTATGTTTTTAATGTTAGTCTGTCGTGTCAAGGTGGAAAGATGGTATAGCTTGCGTAGCCTGCGTGCAAGCCATCCATTTATGGCGAGCGAACGTGCGGCGAAGCCCGCCCCACGCACTCGCGTTTCCTTTCGCGGAATCTCTCGCGACTCAGATGACCTTGCTCTCAGGCTATAGTTTGCGTAGTGACCTTTCATGTGTGAGCAAAGCACAAAAGTAGGGGTAAAGCAAGACCAAGTGCCCACCGTCCCGCTGAACCACTCGCCCTGTTCTGCACATGGAAACGCAGGCGAGAGGTGGTGGGGAAATTTACATTGTGATTCAAGATCCCACCTAGGGGACCCAGGGGGGTGGAGATATGGTTGCTGCACGCCACTGAACCACTCGCCTTGTCGCATGGAAGCGCTTTATACGCTGGCTAGAGGTGGTAGGGAGAATTACATTGTGATTCAAGATCCCACCCAGGGGACCCGGGGAGATAGAGGTATGGTTGTTTTTCTCTCTTGTTTAGAAAATGGTCGCAGCTTTTCGATATTTGGTGAATTCAACGAGACTTTTGATGTCCGGCGTGTGGATTGTTTTCTTTTGTTCCTAAAAAATGCTCTTCAACTCTTCACTAGACCATCTTTTTGTTCTTCTCTCTTATTTCAAGCATACTTGAGATAACATACCAGCTTGCTAGTTTTAATATGGTTTGCTTTGCATTCCTTTGCAGACCCCGCTTTGGACAGAAGAAGAAATCTACAGCAACACAGCAACTTGCACAAGTAAGGATTATGTATATATAAATTCACGGTCAATTTCTTTGGTGATTACAAAGGATAAGAGCAAGGCTTGAATTACTTTGTTGTGGTCTGAATAGAACTTTCGAGCGTTTGCCCTATTTCCTTCTTTCTTAGGGTTTTAGGTACCCTTGTATCCGATTTAGAAGCTGTCCTTTGCTCTGGCGGTGTAGGCGTGTAGTGTCCGTGCAGTATATAGGATTTCAGAATGGACAGCAGTACACTGGTTTTACGTGGTCACTGGAGAGTGCGTGGTCTTGGCCGCGAGGAAGGAGGGCGCGTAATCCTTTCTCGCGCGTATCGCTTATCGGCTCGCGCCCCATTTTTCTTGTGCAAGGTAGAGTGAGTCTCGCGAGAACTTCCCGATTACCGGTCAACATTGCTGTGACATTTTACGGCCGTTGCGCGGCTCCGCCTACCTTGTGTTTAGGTTTTATACGGTGATCAACAGAGCTATGAAATATTTTGATAAACTTTATTCATTGCTACTGTTTATCCACAGCCCTCGTCAAGCACAGATCCCAAACCTCACTTTAGTGGCGATCAAATGGGCATGAGCAGTGCAACCGCCGAAGGTTCGGAACCAGTCCACTCAAGTCAACTGCTCGCCAAAATGCGAGCGAGAAACAACCTGGTAGTCAGCGAAAACGCCAACGCAGAAAGTCATGGGGACCAAAGCGATGATTTGCTCGTTCAGATGAGGAATTTCATCGCGTTGCAATGTACAACTATTGGACAAGCGACCACGCAAGAGATTTTGAACGAATTTGGTTCCAAACTTCCGCAAAGCGACTCGGTCTTGTTTCGCTCGATGCTGAGACAAATATGTACTTTTAAGAGAGACTCGTCAACAAAGAAGGGGATTTGGGTATTGAAGGACGAGTTTAGATAAGTGCCTGTCAGGCCAGCGGGAGGTGGGGAAGACAAGTAAGAAAATTCTCCTAGCCTTATTCCCACACCACTGATTGCACTTTCTGCTTCCCCGTCTTCCGCCGATCTGCTCTCAGAATCAAAGAAGATAACTTGATGCTTCAGGAATTAATAGGAGCTTGGTCGCCGTAAAAATACGAGTGCACTGCTAGTGCAAGCGTATTCTGGGTACCAGACGGATGATTGGGTGCCTTAGCCACGAGCCGCGAGAAAAAACCTCTGGTACCCAGGGTACGCTTGCACTGCTTTTGCGCAGGTCATTACTTGGCCGAAACCGGAACTGGAAACCGTGAATGAGAGGTTTCTGACACCTCATCCCCAGGGCTTTTTCTGGGGTGCACTGTTAGTATAAAGCTAATAGAATAGTAAGGAGAGAAGTTTAAGTTTCCGTATTATACGATCGTCCAATTATGTTGCGCTGCAAAAAGATATAAAGAGAATAAAAATGTATTTTGAGAATGAAATGAAGAAAGATTTTTTGTATTTATGATAAAGTAAGAGAAAAAAAAATACAAAACCCAGCCATATAAACGTGTTCTCACACTACTCTGGTGTAGAAAAATAGGACTTAGCTGAGCAGATAAAGTAGACATTTGAACGCCTTATATGGCACCAATGTTTCCAGAAGAATTCGAATAGCCGACGAAATCTGCGTTGACGTTTCGCAGCTTTTAGTCATGTGTAGCAGGGGCGTGGCTAGAAATTTTCTGGAGCTACGCATAGTAGATGACATTTTCTGAAGGCGTCGCCTGAGGATACTACAGACTAAAATTTCCCGGGAAAAACTGCAGACACTTATATGGAGAATCTAAAGCAAGCGACCAGAAAAATTTAAGCACAAGTATAAAACTCCCGTTTCAGAAGAATTTGCCCATATTTGATTTATAGCCATGCCTTTTCTTTGTCATTGTTGCTTAAGCTTCCTGTTTGGTATTCAATGTGCCATTCAGTCAAACAGCTACTGAAAATAAGGACCCTCCGTCTTCAAAGCACCCCTCTCTTCAGTATTAAGAAAACAATAATCATTAATCTGCAAATTGATCACATTAATCCTATTAATCTTTGAGCAAACGTTTAGATTACAATGGCCTTAAAATTGGTCCCCGTTCCTCCGTAAAAGGATAAAACTTTTGGAAATGTCTACGTTATTGCATAGTCTTGTTTTAACCCAGTGTCAAATTTTCTGCAACAGAAATTTGTTGCGTGGTTGATTGTCTGGTAGCCCTAACGTATAACTCATTCGCACTGCATCGTCTTTCAATGCTTTTGCCTCTTCCAATTTCCCATTTTCTTTATTCCAGTAAGCCATTTGTGTTTTGAGATACACTTTCCACGTGTGATTCTCTCCTAGTTCCCTTTCTGCAATGTGCAATGCTCTTTGATACAATTTCATTGCTTGTTCTTGATTGCCTTGCAACTGGTGACAAATTCCTAAGTTTGTCAGACTCAGAATACACTCTTTGTGGTCAGCCATTCCAAGACTGTCCATAATTCCTAATGCATTCTCATAAAGTTCTATGCATTTTTGCTGGTCTTCTGCTGTTCCAAAACTATTGTCAAGGTGAAAGAGGAGAAAATCTGCAAGATATCTGTGAGCCCAAGCAGTCATGACATGTTTGCCAAGGACCCTTTGATAAAGGTTCAACGCTTCATTCAGTTTTTGATCTGCCTCGTGGCGTTCATTGCGACGATTGTCTTCAGTACCAGCAAAAAGCAAAGTTATTGCTTTCTGTACATACATGTAGTCCAAAGATAAATTTTCCTCACATATGTTAAGACAGAAGTCAAATTCTTCTTTTGCTTCATCTAGTTTTCCTTCTTCAGCAAGAAAGCGAGCATTGTTGTTGTAGAAAAAAGCTTCTGACACCTTTTCACCCTCAAATTCTGCAGGATTCTGCGAGAACGTTTCTCTGGCCTTTTCCTGAAACTCTTTATACTTATTGAGATCTCCAGCTCTTCTGCTTTCATGCCCAACAAGGCAAAGAAGCTCCACTGTTTTGTTAGCAGGGTGATGACCAGATGTCAGCAAATCACAAGAAAGTTTCAGGAACTCCACATAAACACTAGGAAGAAGGCACATTTCCAAATACAAGTATATTGAAGATATTCGGGAAATCCTCTCCAGTAAGGTCTCCACAATTGCCAAGACATCAGGATCTTTACTCTTCACCCCACTTATGCAGACATTGAGGAAAAATTCAAAGTTATGCCTGTCCTTATTAAAACGCTGAATTGATTCTTTGCACCTGTCTTTGCTCCAGTAAAGGACGGTATTGTCAGCGAGCTGCGAAACGAAGTAAGCACAAGCCACTTTCTCTCCCAAGGCGACAGGGGGGGTACCCAGATCTTGATCGATAGTCTTCAGAAATGCCTGTATAAGTGGATGGATCTGATATCTCTGTGACGCTGGTTGTTCAATGAGTGACCGATTTTTCAAAGAACGAAGAATTGATATCGGTTGAGTAGTGCAGCTTGTGCAGTTATTAATAACAGTCTTGGCAGCTTCAGAGCTAAAAGAACCAGGAAAGGCTGACATAACAAGCAGGGCTTGTTGCTCAATGTCGCTCAAAACATCATAGGAGGTTTTGATAGCCTTTGCAACAGAATTATCATCACTTTCATCTTCTCGAAGCACATCCAATGGTCTTTCCTTAAGACTGTTAATCAGTTCATCTTCTGTGTAGTCTAAAAGCAATGAGCCAACGATGCAGAGAGCAAGGGGCACACAACCACACAGTTCAACTAGAATGTCTGTTTTAGACAGCTGTTTTTTGATACAGTCATCAGAGATTTGTTCGGTAAGAACTCTTTGAGACTCTTCAGGAGGTAAGGGTTTTAGTCTGACTTCTATCATCTTCAAGCTGGAATCTTTGAATACTCTTCGAGATGTAACAACGAAATTAATATTCTGCCCTGATAAGATTCTCATGTCACGTAAAAGGCTTATAAAGTGCGATCGGTCATCTGAATTAAGAACGTCATCAGCATTGTCTAAAATGAAAGTAACATTGTTCATTTGCTGCTTGCTCCAGTTAAGCAACCAATGATGAGGATTCCGCGGAGGATGAGAGTGATTTTTATTGCAGGCAAGAATCATAGATGTTGCTACATCATCAACTGTTGTTTTTGATCTAATCGGGCAATACAAAACTGTGTTTTTGCAAACACCTACCAGTTCATGAGCCACTTTGTTGGCCACTGTGGTTTTTCCAAACCCTGGCCCCCCTGTTATCACAACAGTGGCCACGCCCTTAGTTTGGATAGCCTCTGTGACTTGTCTTATCTCCTCTGAACGGCCAAACACTTTGGGATCTTCATCTGGAAGGCAATTTGCAAGCTCACCAGCGCCTGTTTCTGAACCTGAAACTTCAATCCTTGAGATTTTTTCTTTCATCTGCTTTACCTCTAGCTCCAAGAGCTGTATTTGTGTCTCAAAATCTCGAGTCCATCTTTCCACTTCCGCCTTTACACGGCTTTCAGTATCGTGATCAATTGGTTTAGTCTTAAGACGGTCTACCTCATTTTGATCGAGTCCTAATGCGACTAGCGACTTTGAAATCTTGTTCCACTTATCTTCAAACTCGGCGTTTGTAATCCCGGTAGAAATACCATGACACAGCTCATTTCTGAAGAATTTTATTCGTACAATATTTGCTTCGTAACTAAAATCAGTATCGGCAGGTGGATTGTTCCATCCTGTCAAAGGCGGCGCCAAATAACAAATTTCCCGAAGCAACAAATGCAAAAGGGTAATGTCGAATGTCTCGGAATCTGGTGGGTCACCTGAAGAAGGAAACAGCGACTCCCACTGGCTATCAAAGATCGCTCTTCTCGATTTAAGAACCTGAAGTGTTCCACGGTTGCTCGCCAATTCTGCTTGTAATACGCCCGGGGGATAAATAGTGTGCAAAAATGTCCTTAACGCGTGTGTTCCTCCATCAATCACTAAACGTGCAAGTTTTGTTCCATTAGTTTTTTCTTGCGATGCTTCAAACACGGAAGTCATCTTTGTGACGCGGCGCTAAACTTCAGAATACCTAACAACCTTGTATTCATCTTTTTAAACATCTGCTGGGACATTCCCGTAGTCACGAAAATTTGCATAACAAATTCAAAAATAGCTAGAAAACGTGCTCCTTTTCAACCGCATGCTTATCGCATGGCAATAACCTAGTTTATTTACCGGATGTTAGGTGATCAAAAATAGGAATAACACACAAACTGCGGTTACAAACATCAGAAATAACAAACGCATTGTATAACTGACTTTTATAATATCAAACTTGACGTTTCGTATGCTTCAACATACATCTTCAGAAGTGAACGTTAACATGAGTAGTAACTAAATTTAAATCAAAAAACAAAGTAAGATAAGTAACTAATTAGCGTGAAGGAAAAAACAAATAAATTTGACAGATGAGAAAATTTGCGTGAAATTATACAAACTAGTACAAATAAAGCTTTCGTTTTTTGTTTGTTCAACTTGTGTGATGTGTAAGGCCTGTTTCAAACGTCGTGCTATCGCCGTTCTAAGCTGGCTCGACTTCAGCACCGTACGACTGTAGCACGACTTGGTTGTAGACGTCAAATTTAACTCAGTCGAATAAAATAGCTGTTGAGGGAAACAACACTTAAACTTAAAAGGCGGTTTAGTGAACTTTTCAAAATTATTTTAATGTATTTATAATTTATAAATTGAGTTCAGGGCGCGGCAGTAGCGAGACGTCTGAAACCAAGTCGAGCTGCTACGTCGCGCTACTAACGTGCTAACGTCGAATTTAATTCCGCCGATCAATTCAGTTAAGGCAGTAACGGCACGACGTTTGAAACGGGCCTAAGGCTTGCTGATCGGAAAGTTAGTGGGTAGCCCGTGAACAGGCTCTCTGTTTGGGGAAAAGGGTGAAAAAAAATCGCGAGGAGATGGAAGGGTGAGCAGAGAGCCTGTTCGCAGGCTATTAGTAGATGGATATCTCATTTGCCCGATATTTCGGTTAGGCGAAACTAACCTTCACCCGGGGATACGGACATATCGATAAAACCCTCAAAAACAAGACACTCAAGTATTGAGTACGAACTCGGCGGGCTAGCCATAACGCGTTGGTGAGCCTTGGCAGTCGTCTCCTTTTGCCTTTTCGCTTCTTGTTGCCCTGTTCGCTCAACTAGTGAACTCAGAGCGTAAAAGATAAGAGGATAAAAAAATTGCCTTTTTGGGTTTGCTCACTGGAAAACTTTAACAATGAAAATGTATCAAGTGCATCATAGGTACGTATTAGACTTACGATGTTAAGAGACTGGTCTTGATTGGTGTATATCTGTTATTATTACTGTAAAAACGTACTTATCCACAGTTATAGTATTGAATAATAAAAAGAGCTCTCTTAAGAGCACCTGGTTGAATTTTTTGTTACGTCTCTTGTGCACTTGTTCATTTTATTTGTGGAAAACGTAATATGTAACGTAGCAAATGTCAGTCCAAATTCACGTGCTTGCAAAATTGCCCG